GACACTTTTACAATAGTTTACGTTGTTTACACGTAAACGTAGAGTATTATATTTTACGCGTAGATGCACAACCCTGGGGGGGAACCTCCGTGGACCTCGTGTAAATGGCCATTTTTTTCTAGATTTTTTTTTTACTTAAATTGTTAGGAAATTATCTAAAAAATATGAAAAAAAACATTAAAAAGATATAAGAGACTTCCTTCCTATGACGAACACCGAGTATGTATGTACAATGGCAAGAGCGCCGCAGTCTCGCTTCGGCAAAAGAAGCCCGTACTGCTCAGAAAGAAGAAAGAACAGCTCAATTACAGGAATTTGAAGAGAAAGACCCGCTGTACAGCCCTGGAATTGCTGATTGATTGAAAATCGAGGTAAGTTTAAATAAATTACAATTTTCACGATTTTTTCTTCAAAAACTTTAAACGTCTTTTTCTCAAAACGCTAAATTTTGCGCGCCGTGCAATGTAACTTAAAAACTACTTGACCGATCATCTTCAAATTTTACATGCTTATTCTTCAACTATCTGGTCTCAACATGAACCTATCCAATAATTAATATTTTGCTTTAAACAATAATTATTAACAATTGTAGTTTTAAGACAAAAAAGTGATTTTTTTTGTTTATGTCGCCGTTTTTGCAATTTTATGAATTTTATTAATTATTTAGGTTCATGTTGTGCGTTTTTACATAAACTAACGAAATTTTCTTGAAATATTTGTTTCAGATTAGTTTTGTGATCTCGGCGTTGCCCGGCGCAAATTTAAGGAGCCAACTCCAAGCAGCTGCTGTGCCGCCATTTTGAAAGTATTCGACACAAAAAAAATTTTTTTAATTAGCTTGAATAGTAAATATTATTATATACTTAGTCTAGATTAAATCAATTTTGTCATTAAAGAAAAAAAAATCTAGAAAAAATGGCCGCATTTACACGAGGTTCCCCCCTTAAAGTTTTGCGTCTACGATACTAGAAAATCGCCAATCGATCCATTTTTATTACCTTTTCAAATCTGAATTATTCCCAATTAACCTTTATTTAAAATTATTTTATTAATTATATCTTTACAGAATTTAAAGTATAATCAATTATATTATTACTCAAATTTGATTATTTTTATTAGACTTTATCATAATTATTTTCTTTAATAATTTCTTATTTCCATACATTTTTATCGCTTCTATTTACCGTCTCTAGTCATATAAGAATTTATCTTTCATTATCCCTATCTCATCTTTGATTAGGAATAACATTTTATAGAATTTTTAATTACTTTAGAGATTTAATAAGTCATTTAACGCTTTCAGGAACTCCATTTATTTTAATACCATTTATAGTAATTATTGAATCTATCAGCTGCCTAATCGTTCGATCATTTACCCTAGCTATTCGATTAACAGCTAATATAATTGCTGGATATCTATTATTATCCCTACTTGGACCTCCGAGCCAATCAATCTCCAATATTGTTATAATGTGTCTTTTAATTTTAATTCAAATTCTTCTATTTATTTTAGAAATTTTATCAGTGTCTCTTATTGAAGCCTATGTTTTTTTTTCAATTTTATCTACCCTATGTACGATCCGGTTCTTAGACCGAGAACTGTGTAGCTAATCAACTTGCAGCCTTTACAGAAAAAGTAGTCATTTTATAGGCTATACAGTTTTCGATCCGAAAACTTTGATCGATTTCGTATCACGTGGACACGAGCCTTTAATGTGCGTGCTGTAGAAAAAAACAAAATCAATGCAAAGTCTGAGAGAATAAAAATGAATTTTTTATTTCACAGACGACAAGACGAGAATTACTTAATCCCCCGTTTAATATAAATCCTATATATTACAGATCAACATTTCTTTTTATTCGCAAATACATTCACGTTCCCCTCCTCCTCTTCCATACTATTCGGATTTGGAAGCAGCAAGATTATTACACTGACCCGCGACCGGACGCGCGAGGAAGGGGTCTACTCGTCCTGCTCGAGGCTGTAGAGCATTTGAAAGCCGGCGTCCAGGCTGGGCGGAAAGCCCATCTCGGGATCGAGCAGCTGCAGCGTCGGGACGTCGCTACCGAACTCGTCCAGCTCCTCGAACTGCAGTTTGCTGGCCGCCTCGTCCAGGACCATCCTGAAAAAAAGTCGAAACGAACGTCGTTTTCACGCAGCACGTGTACGGTCATGGACAAATAGGTTGCGATACTTTTTTTTTATATTTCGAAACGCATTAATTTTGCAAATGCGAACTATGATTGGTGTACTGTCTCTAGACTAAAGATAGGGTAACTGTCCCTATTAGTGTGCCTGTACGTCTCTATTAGTGTGCTTTTATATTTAAAATAAGTTATAAAAATAAACTGGTACAAATAGACAGTGTTTTTTTTTATTAAATTAATACTTTATCTTAATAAAAAAAACACTGTCTATTTATTTATATTTTATTTATATTTTTTATATTTACTTTTATATTTAAATAAGTCATAAAAATAAACTGGTACAAATAGATAGTGTTTTTTTTTATTAAGTTAATACTTTAACTTAATAAAAAAAAACACTTTGTCTAATTATTTGTATCAGTTTATTTTTATGACTTATTTAAATATAAAAGCACATTAAAACGTACAGGCACACTAATAGGGACAGTTACCCTAGTACAGACGGGGACAGGAATGCCTTAACACTTGAAGTTGCACGTGTCGAGCGTGTTCCAATCAGAAACGCGTCTTCAGAGCGCGTTCCAATGAGAAACGCGTTTTTCTCTCATCGTGTAACTTCAAGTGTTAAGGCATTTATGTCCCCGTGTGTACACTCGCTCACTAAATGGTTGCGACACTTTTTTTTATAGGTTTCTAATTTATATTTAATATACGTAATATATACTTTATAGATAACTAATATTTTGCAAATGCAAACCACGATGTACTATCTTTAGTCTAAAAGCAGTATAACACCAATCGTGATCCGCATTTGCAAAATATTAATGCGTTTTGAAACCTATAAAAAAGAAAGTGTCGCAACCTTTTAGTGAGCAAGTGTACATCAATCGTGGTTTGCATTTGTAAAATATTGATTACCTATAAAATAATATATTATATATATTAAATATATATTAGAAACTTATTAAAAAAAAGTGTCGAAACCTATTTGTCCACGACTGTACGTCCCGAGAAGATCGTTGTCAACATGCTCAACAGCGATCCAATACTTAGTACTACAAGCATTAAGTTCAAGTTGCCTCTGTTTCTCCATCGTTTCCTCGACCTTCCGCCTCGTGTTCTCCTCGAACTTCAGGACGTACTCCTGATAGTAGTCGTGCAGCGCCGACACGCCGCCCACGCCTGTCTCCAGCAACACTCTCTCCACGGCGTCCTAAGAAACACATAAAGTCCGACGTGTAGACAACCGCGTAGACAATAATGTAACAACGATAATCGCTCTCTCGTCTTACAGGAAATCCATGATCCTTGTGTTCGGTCGCCGCTTTCAACAGAAGCGTCATCCGCCTGAGGAAGTGATCCGCGACGTCGGTGAGCGTTTCTACAGCCACGTCCGACGAGTTTTCGAATCCTATGTGCGCCAACGAAGTGGTCACGGAGTGCCTTAACAAATTTCGTGTACTTTTTGGCGTTAAGTAGTGCACAGTGGAACCATCTTTAAACGTTTTGTCTCTGAAACGATTACAATAATTAATACAACAGCGTTGTTGCGCGACGATAATTGAAGTTAATGACACACAAGTTACCTATTTGACTCGTAAGGCAGAAAGTGAAATAGACTTCTGGAACTCGTTGTATCTTTTGTATCCGGTGACTCTATTACAGTCATGTTTCCAAGCACAGTTCCCTCTTCCTGTAAAGAGATTAATATCATATTTTTAGTATATCAGTAATAAATAGTTTTATTGAGTTATCTGTTTAAACCTTTTACCATTGTACGTAATTGTTGGTGAAAATTTATAGTGTTCAATACATGTAGGTTTCCCATTGGTAATCTATAACAATATTAACAGTAGAAAATGGTTTAACTCATTGCTTAAATCTGTACCACAACGTTGTAAACATTATGCTCACTGTAAGTATTCGGGTTGCCGATCGATCCGGTAGTCGCAGTCGGTGCTGTTCGAATCATCCATGACCTGTCGCCAAACGTTTTCTATCAGATCTGGCGTTACCACCTCCTGCTTGAGCATCTCCCGCGCTGGCAACTCACCCCACAGTCCGCCACTGCTCACATTTTTGTTAGACTTCATTGTGCATCTGAAAGAAGAAGATATAATTATATTTTTAGATTATTTTTATAATTGTTAGTTAATTTTCAGGAACAGTTTGGCTGTGACAGCACAGCTTGAAATATCCTCGTTAACAAAGAGTATTTCATCTTCTATTCAAAGTATATGATTTATATACATATCGCTGCACTGATAGAAAAGTGACACAAGTAAAAAAAATTAGCATTTTTGAAAATCAATCCTAACTCGGTCGATTTTCTTTAATTCTCTCAAAAAAGCTAATTTCTGACTTTGTATCACTTTTGCTATTAATGCGGCATTAATGTGTAATATATTTTGTTTTACATATAAAACAATTTTTTTTTATGTAAAACAAAATGTGTGCTATATAAAATGCTGTCAACGCGGCGATATGTGTAGTAAATTTTGTTTTATATATAAAAATTGTTTTATATACGTAAAATAAAATTTATTACACATATCGCCGCGTTGACAGCAAAAGTGATACAAAGTCAGAAATTAGTTTTTTTTTTAGATAATTAAAGAAAATCGACCGAGTCAGGATTGATTTAAAAAAATGCTAACTTTTTTTTTTACACGTGCAAATTAATCGCGCGCTGGGAATATCCGTTGGAAATTCCCGCCTAATGATAACGCTGCAGTCACGTCAAATGCCGTCACACCAGCGGTTGGCACTGGACAGCGTGACGTAGTTTATTTTATTGTCGATCTCGAGAGGGAGGCGTACGCGGAGTGTCGCGAGGTCTCTCGAAGGCTCGAGGCCTGACGTCTCACCCGACGATCGTTCCCGACGAAGAGCCGTGTGATGTACAATTCTCTCGCGCGTTGAACAACGCGCGGTACAGCCTCACGTCACGTTGTCGAGCATGTTCCAGCGTCGCGCAACAGCTCGCCGCGATTAAGGTTAACGTCACGGCGCGCTTGCGTCGCCACGTTCGGATACTTCAGATTCGCATCGCCAGGCGCGTCGGTCACAAGTGATCTCGTATCGTAGCAACCACAGACGCGGTGAGTATAAACGTATCGCGAATATCGCGATCGCGTCTCGCTTTAGAAAGAGAGAGAAAGCTTTGAAGACTCACGCCGTCTCTGTCTGAATTTAATAAAGGAGATCGGTTTCATTTGTAACTATTATATTAGACTTTCTTGAAATAAAATGGCCATATAATTAGACGTGCAATTAGAGAGAAAAAGAGGATGGACGGCCTTGCCGGATTAATGCAAGCAAGACTCTCTCTTTCTCGCTACGTTTAGGCGGACGCATCGAACGCGAAAACGACTTCTCGAGACAATCGATATTGGAAATTCAAACGCGGGCCCGGCCCGGCGACGTTTGAATTTCCAATGCAGAACGTTTCGCGCGCAAATAACCGATATGATTTCGCGCGCTCGAATTACGCTGAGGTATTCCTCGGCCGCCGCGGTTGCCACGGCTGTAACGGAGCTGTAACGCGATCCCCGGGCTTGGCGACCATTCTCGACGTGTGTGCGCATGTTTACCCGAGCTATCGCGTGCGCTCAGATAAAAGACCCGTTATAGATTAGAGGAACAAAGACATTTATCTGACGGTTCACGTACGATCGCGCGATTTATCGTTAACGTTTTTTTTTTTCTTCCAGAGCGCGCAGGTACAGGCGTACAGCGTTGCGTATCGTGCGCGCCGTGAAGAAGCACACACGCGATGGAATCAGCGGCGGTCTCGGTTTTAAAGCGAGCGGTGGAGATGGACAGGACGGAGCAGTACACGATGGCGTTGGTGCTGTACCAGGAAGGCGTGCAGATACTCCTCGACGCGGTGAAAGGTATACCCCCGGATACCGTCCGTTTCTGTAGCTTGCGTTTGTTGTGCAAGGGTTCACGCCACCCCTTAAGCCCGGTCTACAATTGCGTAAGTATAGTTGCAAGTAGTTGTACTTGTAAGAATTTACCAATCACAATCGAACATAAAAAGAATATTCGACTGTATTGGTCAGTTCTTACAACTACAATTACTTACAACTACGTTTACGTAATTGTAGACCAGGCTTTAAGCCCGGTCTACAATTGCGTAAGTATAGTTGCAAATAGTTGTACTTGTAAGAATTTACCAATCACAATCGAACATAAGAAGAATATTCGACTGTAATTGATCAGTTCTTACAACTACAATCACTTACAACATACGCTACGTAACTGTAGACTGGGCTTTAGGCGGCTTAAGGCCTCAAAATGATACTTAAGTTTGGGATTTTTTGTGTGGGTAAATAGATAATTTTATTTAAAAAGCTATTTAGAGAATATTGTTGTACGTACATATACACGATCTGTTCCAAAAGTAATGAGACTATTTTTGGCGCTAATCAGAATTGTCGGAGGATGGATCCATTGGATGGGGCCTTTGATGCGAGATATCAGGTATAAGTCTGCAGGCCCTTCCCAGTTGCCACCGAGCTTTTCCAGCAGTTGATTTTACTGTCAGTAAAATGCATTGTAATATTTTATGCGTTGTCACGGTCGAAAATTCAGCAGTATCGAGCAGTGATTAAATTCTGCGTGAAACTGAAAAAATCTGATTCCGAAACGTTGAAGATGTTGAGAACAGCTTATGGGGGTGCTGCTTTGTCTTCAGAATTTGATGGCGTAGCGTAGCTCAATATTCAAAATACAGCACAATCCGTGCTGAATTTTCGCCCGTGACAAGACAAAAATTACAACGCACTTTGCTGACAGTATCGATTGCTAGAAGGACTCGGAGGTATAACTGAGAAGATAGTCAGATTATATATCTAACATCCCGTACCAAAGGCCCTGACAATTCTAATTAGGCCCTCAAAAATAGTCTCATTACTTTTGGGACAGATCATGTATAACAAACTAAAAAAATATATTTTTTCATTTTTTTTAATATACAAAATGGCGACGCATTGGTATACTTGCACAGAAATCCCTTTTTCTGTTTTTTCAAATCGGTGTACAGGTTTCCATCAGACACATGGTTTGACCTTAAACAAAACACAGAATTTTCATTTTTACATATTAAGGACTATAGAAGTACGTAGGAGTTTTTTAAAATAGTGATTTTTTTCAAAATGGCAGCTATTTTACAAAAAGTTTGTATTTTTATCAATACAAGTCTTTCGTAAAATTGCTGTCATTTTAAGAAAAATCAATATTTTGAAAAATCCTTATGTACGTCTTTAATATGTAGATAATGCAAATTTTTTAATGTTTTGTTTAAGGCCAAACCGTCTGCCTGGAATCCTGTACACCGATAGAAAAAAAGGAATTCCGCAAGCGTAGGCCAGTGCGCCGTCATTTTGGACATAAGAAAAATAAAAAAATATTTTTTTGATTTTTTATATATGCACAATAATGTCCTCTAAGCAGATTTTAAATAAAGTTATCCATTTACCCGCAAAAAAATCTCAAACTTAAGGTATCATTTTAAAACCTCAGGAGTGGCATGACCCCTTAAGAGAAAAAAATGCTATATATATCAGCTTTATCATTACTATACTTCTGTCAAGAAGTTCAAGATATTAAAACGATGCAGAAACGAAGGAAGCCCAGAAGGTGCAGTACCTTACGAAGAGAGCAAAGGAGTACCTCGACAGGGCCGAGATGGTGAAGAAGTTGGTCAGCACGAGGAAGTCAGCCGGCACGTACACGGAGATGACCAAGATCGAGGACGGATCGACGGGGCACGGCTACGCGAGCGTCTTCGGCAGATTCCTTGACGGCACCGTCACGCACATTGACATCGAAGATCCGTACATACGAGCCTTTCACCAGGTATCGTCGTCATTATGCGTAATACGCGGGTATTTGTATAATCCGATATACCGTCATGCGTGATTCCTGTATTCTATTTCGCAGTGCCAGAACCTGGTCAGATTGTGCGAACTAGCGGTACAAAAGTGCTCCGCCCTGGCCAGGATATCCCTGCTAACGACTTACAACAAGGAAGAGTCTAGTCAAATCTCGAGATTGGCCGAGCTAAAGGAAAGTCTGGCGTCTCGCAACATTTCCTTCAACTTCTCCTTCTCCGAGACGTTGCACGACAGACAGATCACGTAAAGCCGAATACAATTGTTACGCTCTCTGAAAATTTGTATATCTATCCCTTACAGTTTCTCTTATCATTTCTCTCTTCTTTTCATTTCAGATTGAGCAACGGATGGGTGATAAAAATCGGGCGTGGATTGGACTACTTCAAAGCGCCGGAGGGCAAATTCGTTCTCGGCTATTGCGATTTAGAGTTAAGACCGTGCCTAGAGACTACCGTACACATTACTCACATGAATCAGCTGAAGAGCAGAGGATCATTCAAATAGGACATATTCAATTAATAATAAGATAATGGTTAATATTTTTTATATATTTTTCTCACAAATGTGTATTATGGCACATTTTTTTAGTACGCGATAAAAGAAAACGTTCTTATTTTTACAATGCGGGTCCATATCTTTGCGATATGCTGCATCTCGAGAGTTACATATACATATACATATATTTGTACATATTTGACAAAGATATTTCTCTACATTGCCCTTCCATAATGTAATACTGTAATTATAATTCGTGATTATAAAATGTATTTACAGTCTTCACTTTCTTCGTGCGAAATCTCTCGCTTGTTCAACATCGTACTGAATTATCACAACAATCTTTTGTCCTTTCCAGAACTGCTCCCTCAGTCCAGTGGACTGTGATCCTTGGCCTTTGCGATCCCGATTTGCTTCGCGGCCTTCTTACACGCTCGCCTCAACGATCTGGTGTATCTGAAAAAGCCCGTTCCCGCTTGCGCCTCCTCGTCCTTCCGCTCCGTTTGGGCTTCGTTCACTCTGCACGATACCGGCAAGCAGTCCCCGCCGCCGACAGCGACCACTTGCCTCGCGATCTCCGGCTCCACGCAGAGTCGGGTCAACGCGGCCGCCGCGGTGATCTCCAGCCGTCGATACGCGTCCTCCAGGCCCGGTGGCCTCATACGGAGAAAAGAGACCAACGCCACGGAGGCTCGTGCCTTCGCCAGGTGCGCTCGACCTTCGGGATTCCGCGCCAGTTCGCCGATCAACGCGGCGACCTGTTCCATCAACCACACGTTACCGCCGGCGGATTTCTTCACGCTTCTCAAGAGCTTCTTCACACTGTCCTCCTCCATGATGATCGTGGCGCATATCCTCGACTTGGACAGCTGATTCAGCGCCGCGGCGGCCAGCAGCAGGGTCTGTGCGCAATTGGTGGCCTCGATCAGCTGATTCAACGCCGGAATCAGCGAGTCTGCGAAGGGCTCGAGATACGGCAGACCCCGCGCGTTCGTCCACGGCGCCGTGATTTGCACCACCAGAGCGGTGGCTTCGGTCTTCTCCTTCTCGGTGGAGGATCCCGCGCCCAGGAGATCCGTCAGGATCTCGGGGCCGCCCTCTCGGGCGAAGTATTCGATCGCTGTCGTGGAATTGCACACGCTGGCCAGAGCGCGTAACGTGATCGTGACGAGATCGTCCGGTACTCGGCTGACGGCGACGAGACACGTTAACAGAGCCTTTACGCCGGAACATCGAGCTATGCTGCTTCCCGCGCGAGGATCCGACAAGCCCAGAGCCGTCAGGGCCGCCAGAGCGCCTCTAGCCACGCTACTATCTTCCCGGGGGGCTTCCTCGAGGCCTCGGACTATTTTCTGAAAGACAAATTTTTGCATCGTTAATTTACTGATTATTTTCGATGAATACATATAAACCACGAAGAGATAATAGAACCAACCTCGATGTAAAAATCTAAGCGTGTATCGACCGTACTGCCGACGTACATCTTCATATTTTGCAACTGCGCGAGGATGCTCCTCAGACTACCTTGCTGTATCCTGCGAGGAGGAGGTGCGCCCAATTGAGAGAGGACCGAAAATGCGGCTTCCTCTATACTGCGAAGAAGCTCCATTTCGAATCTGCCGCCTTCCAGCTGAGTTATTTTCCTGCAAAGTAATTTTAATGTGATTATTAAATCAACTATTTTAAATGATCACTTTTAAATAACATTAACAATTTAATTTATATAATAAATTTTTTTGCTTTGCAGTTAATCGTGGATTTCGTACATAACGCGCTTAATTAAAGATACTTAATTATCTCCGTAACTGATCGAGACGCAACGAGTTCGGCTATAATAAAAATATCCGAGCGATGTCATTATAGGAGGATTAATGGAAAACGGACTTACTCCACGATACTCCGATAATGTTGCTCGAAGTGTTCCGCGCTGACTAGAAGTTTACTCGCGGCCGCGGTGGCCGCGGAAGACAGCATCTTCAGATCCCGCGCGTGCACCTCGCCGGACGCCACTCGGGCTCCTCCGCGCGGCAGATTCTTGCTCTGCAGCGTGCTGCCGCACTCGTTCTCGGTCGTCGTCGCGAGGTCGGTGAGCCATGCCCTCATGGACGACGATTGACGGTAATTTCGGGAGTTCAACACCTCCCTGCCGGCGGCGATCGCGGCGTCCGTGGCGTCGGTGGAAGCCCGCGATTTCGTTATTGACGGCTGAACGCTGTCTTCCGGCGGCTCGGACGCGTACAGAAAGTCGCACAGACTCTCCTCCCCCAACGACACGGAGGAAGGTGCTTTCGACGAGTTGTCCCGCTGCTCCCCGCCAGCCCTGGAAGAGAACGTTTGGTAAGCGACAAAAGAAAATTATCGGAGATAAGAAGATTATTTTTAAATAACACTCAGACAATCGAAAGACATCCTGCTTTTCCAGAGACGTTCTTTACAGCTATCTTTCAAGTGTCTACTATCTCAGGAATTTAATTTTATTTCGTCGCTCTCGAATAGATTACGCTACCTTAAACGAGCCATAGCGACGCAGATCTCGACGCGATTATTGTCATCCTGTTACTGCGAGACGCATTGCGATGCAATATACTCGGGATCGTTTTTATCGCGACCGCTTCTTTCCGGGCAGGCGGAAACGCCGGGAGCGATTAGTGGAAGGTAAGAGCTGACTAATCGAACTCCGCTTGCGGAGAACACTATACCCCCTTCCCGCGCGCGCGCCCGATGACTAATCTCGAGCTCCTTCGACACGTTGCGTTGTATTGTAATGCGTCCACCTGCGCGCCGGTGCACGCCGGAGCTGAATTCCTCGTAGATTCGCTGTCGCGCACCGAAAGCACGGCCCCGCGCGCGCGGTTGACTCAAACCCCCCCGAGCTGCAGGCCCCGCGCGCTCTCGGAGAGCCGCCGCGCCAGCCTCGCGCTCATTCATTTACGTATTCTCCTCGTGCGGCACGTCGCATTGACTCACGTACGTGCACACGAAATGTACACACGGTGACGGAACAGAAAAGCACGACCGTACAAGGGAATCCGATGATCGGGCGTCCCGATCTCATGACGAATTTAACACCCGATGGAATACTAGAGGTAGAGACGCGCTTCAGACGATCTGTAATTCGTGACGGGAATTCTATATTATGAGGTTTAATAAAGTTGTAGAATTTTCTGCCTCTCTACGGATCGTCTAAAGCGGACCTAATGTATATAGAAAACAAAGGAAAGGATCGAGGTACGAGTAGTACATGCGGGCCAGGATATCCGATATACGTGCAAAAGAATAGAATGTTTTCCTTTTACTTTTCTTATTTCGCTTTGTTAACACTTTGTGTTTTGCGTTACTCGAGATGCAAATCTAGCTGCGTGTGCAACGATACATGTCTCCGGTACCGATTTACATTACGATCGCATTTTACAGGCATAGGCGTATACGATCGCCTGCAGTGCTCTTTAATCAGCGGATAATACGCAATCTAATGACCGCCCTGTCCGACTCTCCGAGATGCGTGCAATCGCGCGCGCATATTTCACTTATTAATCTAACCGCGGCTCGAATCGTTAATCCGTTGTGGAGTCGTTGCACGGTTCGAGACTCTCGAAAATCCATCCTCGTTACGTGGCCGTAAGCTGTAAGTCGGTTAGCCGTGCGTATACGTGCGAGGGCGTGATACGCATACAATGACTCGGAGTAAGCGATAAGCCGCGCGGCACCTTCACGCGGGCCGAGGACTGATAATCATCCACTCGAGGCCGGCGCATCTCTCGCGCAGCATTACCGAGACACCGGGCGAGGAGAGGAGACCGACTCTCGAGAGTGCGTCATCATTGCTTACAACACAATTATAAGCCGCGTGCGATACGATCCGCGCGCGTTTATTCTGTTTATTATTCGAAGAGGATTGCGTACCGGCCGACGAGGGGACAGCGACGAAAATTGCCTTACGTGTCGCATTCCTCCGTCGATTGGCTCATTTCTTCAATCTTATCGCGACGGTTCCCCCGGGCATTCCTGCACCGGCCCCGTATGGCGACACGATTTCGAAAGTTAAAATGTTATTAATATCGTTATCGATAGTGCAGGTAATACTTTTCGAGGAACTATCAGCGCGTGTTGAATCAGACCCAATCGTTCGTACACTTTCTGAGTCAGCAACGCGCTAAACGATACTTGAAACGGAGTAAAACGGATATCCACCTGCATTCACTCCGATTTTTCTTTATTCGTTCTTTATTGATAAATTTTTTTTTTATTAACGTAAAATAATAATTTGCTCACCTCCGTTCTCGCGAGGGGCTCCTCGCGGGTTTGCCGAGGAGGCGATTCCTCGCGTGTATCCTGGAATCCTTCGGCGTGGACGTATGCGTCGGCACCGGGGGTGATCCTTCCTCCAGCCACGGGGAAGCCGGCTGGATCCTACGCCTCATCCGTTTCCTCCTCAGCTTCCGCCTCGGAGTCGCGTTCTCGTAAGCCACCGAACAGTCCGATCTCTCGGAGTCGGAGAATCCGGAATCCTGGCTCTTGAATCCTTGGCTAAAGGGACTGTAGGATCTGTTTTTTATCTCCTCCTCCTCCTCCTCCCTTTTATCCGTTTTCTCCAATGTCATTCTAGATGCATATTTAATTATAATTTTAGATATCTGTAGCATTAACACTTTAGTGAACACAACAATCATAAATGCAGTCTCCGAATTTCTTTTTATAGTACCATTGAAGAATGACTTTATCATTTTTAATTATTTACTATTGATATTCGAAACTATAATATCGAAAAAATTTAAAAAGAATTTCATATATATTTTTTTTAAGCTAGAGATAATATTGAATGATTATTCTTGTGACAATCGCTCGGTGACGATTGATTATTTTGATAACGTACCTGCGACGCGTTATACTTTCGTCGCGTATCAACGAAATCTGACACGCGTTCTGTTTTGTATTCTCATCGCTTTTGTTGCTCATAGCACAGACGTGTATCGCGGTGATATTCGTATCGTCGATCGTGTCGTTTTCCGATTTGGTCGAATTTTCTTCTTCTTTCTCCTCTTCCTTTTTGCAGACACGTTCATTAAAAGAGTAACGCGGAGGATCATTTCTTCTTGCAGGACGATCGTCCTCCAGATCGCGCGAGGCCATTTGGTCCCAGAACACCTTGCTCTGATATCTTTTGAAGGCGCTCATGCTTTCTTCACTGTTTTCACTCAACAAAGTTCGCAAAACGCTTGCCCGAAACCAGCCGAAGCGAAAAGAGGCAGAGATAAAAAATACCGCGAAATTTTTATTTTCACCTTTTTAAATTCTTGACTCTTTTGTTATTCGCAGGAACACGTCGTGAACGAGCGAGGGAGCCCGATAAACGTTCGCGGGACCTCGAGTCCCTCGAGGTGGCCAGGATGCGCCCAGGGTGCTCGGTGTTTTACTCCAACGGGGTGCTTTCACGATCCAGCAGAGCGCAACGACCCTCCCACGGTCGGTGGTCGCGTGGCTGCTTGGAGAACGACCGTATGGTGTCTGCCGCAACCCCCACAGGCCTCTGCTGCTTAATGGTGAGTCCCGCACGCGACACGCTTATGCTCTTCTTCTTTGGTGGTAGCACCCCGACCTCCAACTCGAGACTCCGCGAACCTCGTGGAGGTTCGAACGAAGTTGGCCAACAATTCGTTAACAACTTTCTCACTCTATTCGACTTGTTTTATCGGACGAGATACCTTCGGAATTCAAATCCTCGAGCAAGAATCACTTTCCCGATATCAATCACTGCGGACTTACGTCCCGAATTATCGCGGTTCCGAATCATCCGCGTACCACGATGACCGATGGTTTTCCAAGAAATCCTGATAAATCGCGCGTCTCGCGATAAATGATATGCACGTGCACACGGTGCGCTGTGCGCGGGTACGGCACGTATGATCGATCTAAGCGCGCTAATGCCCCACAATCGACTGACTCGGGGTCCGACTTCCGACTTCCTCGTCGCTCGCGCGACCCGATCTCTTCGCTCGTCCCTCCCTCTTCCCGCCCCAAAAGCCACGTAAGCCAAGTCGTGTGAAAGCGCAGCGCGGGCCCCCTCGTCGTTCCCTTTGTCGTTTCCACGGGGGCAGCTTGCGCGAGGGCGCCCGTCTCCCCGTGCATGCTCCCCTCCCCCCATCCTTACACACACGTGGGGCGAAGCGCGTGTCCGTGCGTAACCGTCAAACCGTAACGAGGCGCGCGTTCTCTTTGACGGGACGGCGCACGCCGGAAGACCTTTAATTGAGCTCCGATAGACACAAGGTGATCCGGGTTCTGGTATGCAAAGCGGATAAAATCCGCGTGAATGGCAGGTCTGCGTGCGTCTTCGCGCAATTCGCGGTTTTCTTATCGCGGATTTTTCGCGACGAAGACAAATTTTCAAAATAACTGCGATATTTCACAACGCTAAGACAACGAGACTTTTTTTTATTCCTCGTAACTGCACGCGATTTACACGGATCGTTAAACGTTATACATAAGAAACTCGGGACTTAAAAATTGTAACAACGAAAGAGAACGTTGAGGTCAACTTGCTCTGAAATAAATGAAACCATTTAAATAAGGCAAGAAATAAGACTCACATATAGCATAAGGGAGACCATTTTAAATATATTTCATCAAACTACAGAATTATACACTGGAATTAAAAAAATAGATATGTAAAATAAACAAAATTCTAAGAGCATCACATCTCTTATGAATTGTTTTTCGTTTTATTTTATAAACAAAATTTCAAGTTATTTAATGGATGAGAAATGGAATGGTGAGAAAAGTTCAGGAAAATGTTCATTTTTCACACGATTCAAAAGAGAAATGGATAATGCTCTTAAATACAAGGTAACTCTAAAGATGATGAGGTGAGGACTCATTTAGAATTCGTTTTTTGTGCGTCGAACCATCCTCATCACTTTACCATGGTATCGACTGACATCCACAAATAAGAAATAACAATAGCCGTTGACAATCGGGCGAGTCTGAAGCACAGCAGGAAGCAGGAAGACCACTTCTCTTTTACTTTCGGAAGGCGATAAGTCTGTCTCTTCGAGACTACCGAACGATTCATTGGCGTAACGAATGCGGGATGAGGTAGTCGAGATAGTCGGGCCGTCTTCCAGACACGCCCGGAGCGTGGAAGATGTTCCACGTAATCACACCAATGGTGCTTTTAAGGGCCAGGTGTGCGACTATCGATCCCCCGTGAACGCGAGCTGGGGCCTGGCCCCCTCGAAACAACCGTGGCACCATTCAGCGAGGCGATACAGCGCGGAGGCACGCGCCCGTTCGGCACATCTGCGTGTAAAATGCCCACGGTAACGCGTCATGAGCGTGTGTGCGTGAGAGTGCATGGGCTGTGAGTCACACTTACACGTGTTCCGCGCGTTGCGTGGCTCCGAATTTAAAGAACGTGGAAATTTAATGGAATTCATGCGTATATACGATAATCGAGCGAAGTCGTGCAAATACGAGTCCAAGCTAATCACGAAAATACTTCGTATGTTGAAATCCGAGAGGCTTTCGGAAAGGAGATGCCGTCAAAACAAATGTTCGTTATTTAAAAAATCGACTCGACTTGACATTCTATAGCTAGGAGAGTGCTAAGGAGAGAAAAATTGATTGGATGAGTATTTCTATGTGAATCGTAAATCATAGTGCGTAGCAAACGGTGAACGATCTGCCGAGGAAAATGCCAAGGGAAAACGCCATTCATTCATTTTGCATTCCCGCTGCTAATTGACGGAGATCGAGGCTACCGATAAGTAGCGAGCATCGGAGCCACTAATAGGTGTAGTAATAGCGTAACGACGCATTTCCTTGCATCGCGGTAATAGCAATCTCGTCGCTTTATCGGGAGATAACGCGGTTTCCAGAGATTGTTCGGCCGCGACCGGCCTTCTCGTATTTGCCGATGCGTACCTATGCGTATACCGACGATGAGCCCAACTGCGCGTCTCGTAGCAGCGCGAAGGGGTCCTTTTACGACCCCTATTATGCCGTACCGGCCACGAATGGGGGACAGATGTGTACAAACCGTTACTTAAGCGCGTATGCTCTTAAGCGCGTCCGTGTAAACCTGTACATCTGCAACGCTCGGAACTCGATGACATTTCGAATTTAGGGTACGCCGATGAATGACCAATGATTGATTTCTACAGAAACGGTTGTTCTTGTTACATATAACAAAAAGATTTTTCCATGCAAAGATCATTCCTTGATACGCGAAAGTCACTTCCACATATGAAAATTATTTGTGGAAATCGAAGCGGTTTTACTAGAAACGAACTAAATTGACAATTATAATGTGACTATTTGTAAATATTTGTGACTGTTAAACTGCAGCATCTTTATGTCGAGTTTGCTCGTTACATTCAGATGATACAGGTGAAAAGCTATAAAAAAAGCGCGACAATGTTGAATAAGTGTTTTTCAACACAGAGATTTGGGAAAATTTTCATTTCTAGTACAGAAATCTGTGACATTCATATACATATTTAATTTATGAACTAAATATATGATGTATTTTGTAAGAATCACGAATACACCTGTAGGTATGCAACCCTTTTTACACACTGCTATTTTGCACACGACACGCTCGCAGCTACGCGCGACATGTGCTCGCATTTTTTATTCACTTTATTGTTAGTATATGTGCGAAGGTTAATTTGATTTAATTACGACATTATCAATGATTTAATTTAGAATATTAGCACAGGTGGTCCAAGTAATATAGAGTGCACATCACATAATTCACATAATTCACATCACATGTTATATAATAAGAGTGCGTGGCATCTAAAAGAAAAATTAAATTTATCATACAAGAGATTGCTCAAAGACTGATTAACTACTGAAAAACTTAATTACTAGAAAACTCTTGTTGGCAAATATTAAATATTCTAGAGCAGACGACGCACAATCTGACAAAACTTTGAAAAACTTATTACATAACATATAATTCAATTTGTTGTAGAGAATATCTGAAAATTCAAGAAATTTCTTAATTAATTAATTTATTTATTTATTGACATGTTGACGATCTGCAAACTGATATAATTTATATAATAATTATTATATAATATATCATATTGTTTTATTCAAATTTTTTTATAAACGACAAGACGCGAACTTATCTGTAACATTTAAGTTAACGATTATGTTTTGAATAAAATATAAATTTTATTGTAATTTACTTTAATTTTTTTGCAATATTACTTACGGACAGTTTCTTGTATTGATCGTATCTTTACCGGGGAACCCCCGGAGAGGCAAACGCTAATCAACAAAAGAAATAAGTTTCCTCGGACAGGTTCTGTTTTCACTCTAGCAGTTGGAGTTGGTCTTATCTTCAAACGAAGTAGGGGAAAGGATTGGTTGCCTTGCATTATCAAACCATGCATACGGCGCATGACTGACAAGCTTAAACCCTAAAGCCTGTTATACATGTCGTGCAACAAGTTTGTCCGAGACACTGATTGGCTAATCGATATTAAATTTCTAAAGTCACGGTTTGGTAATGCAAGATGGCCAATCCTTTCCTTTGCTTTGAAAACAGAACCAACTTTGCCGTTAGTTTGAAAACGGGACTTACATTTCGGGGAAACTCCTTTCTTTTGATTAGATTCTACCTCCATGGGATTCCCCGTACGATACTCCAGATGGTATAAATACAGCGATCAATACGAACTTCGCATTAGAGCCATCGCAATTGTGCTGCAAGTATCTCTTGGATCCTTGATCGTCAGTTACGCAGATAGTCTTTGCTGAAGATAGTCTCATTTACAAGTCTCTTCTCATTTTACAAGTCTCCAGCTTTCGAAAAGTAAGTTAATTATTTATCTCATTAATTTCAATTTATTGATGAATTTTACTTATTAGTATAATATATAAAATATATTATACATAAAATATGCCTAAAAAAAATTAATGATTTTGTGATTAAAATCAGTTTAAATTAAAGAATAGCTGTATTATATAAAATTATGACAGAGTGTGAAATAATAGCTTATTGAAAGTTTGTAAAAAAGAAAATCGTTTATTATTTATTCGAAATTTATTCGAGTATCTGACTAAGGAAAGAATGTGTATGACTTATACTTTACATATATTGATACTGGAAATATTATGACGCGATGTATGTTCAATAATTTTAAAGAAGAAAATTAATTTTATTTATTATTTTTATATTAAAAATATTTAACTAAATATAACTTAGTTATCTGTTTTGAAAATTGTAGTGTGATGTCTAATTCGCGATTATGCAAAAAATTCATATAAAGGATAACGCGATAGATACGCTGCACGATAAATTTTTGACATGATGTACGAAAAGAGCCGAAATTTTTGTTTAACATAAAGTGACGTAGAACATATTGATCAATTTCGTACAAATTCTTATCTTTTAATCGTTTTATTTTATTATTATATTCGTTTAACTTTTCCTTTTCTTTAATATTCACCAATCGAACTGTGAATTTGAGACACGCATCGGATATGTATTTATATTGTAATTTATTATAATTTATTGTAAAATTGGATTTATGTTTTAGATGGATAAAAAGGCTGCGGAGGACAATCGCACAAAACAATGCAATCCCACCCATACTCCAACCGGGCCTGGTCATACGACGGAGTATAAAGGGACTGGAACAAAAGAAGACTTGGATAATCACTCCAAGCAATTGAATCCGAATAATCCATTATATAAAAAGTAACATGTATTCATGTCTCGTAAAATTGGCATTGTATTTGTAGTATATGTACATGCCCGAACGATATAAAATATAAATGACATGAAATCTTAATATTGTGAACTGTCCTCATATTATTCACTATATCTGCGCATTTTAATATGTTCCTATCCTGCATTTCTATCCAGTTTGACAAGAACACGAAAGATTCAGTTTAATGGAAATATTAATTACAGATTTACAGACATTAGTTATTTTAATTATTTTATGCTGTTATTATTATTATTATTTTGTGCTGTAATGTAACTAATAAGCGAAGGTTCTTTTTTTTTTGTAATCGTAAAGACAATTATAGCTTTGTGATTTTAATCTTTTAATATACATTATTTGCAACACACACAAGGAAAAATATTTATTTCGTTATAATATGTATAAAAAAACAAGCTGCAAGAGAAACACATCACATCGACATTATCTGCTGGGCTGTTGAATCCAATATCCCCAAGTGGCGAAATATTCGCCGCTGTCTTCATGCGTGGGACCGCGAAACACCTTTATTTTGACCCGTGGAACGTCATCTGCAAACAAATAGCAACTGCACAATTTTTTCGATCGCATTTACGAGCATCGCGATATTATTGCATTTTTCTTGTCTGTAATTCCGAACTACTTTATCACGAAGTGCACAAGGACAAATTAAGTATAAATATTTCCGCGCTCATAACTGTCGCTATCACTACACTGCGCTGCAGTATTTACCTTTTTCCAATGCCGAGTGACGCATTGCGCTATTTGACTCATCGCAGCTAATCGTCGTAAGTATCGCTATTTCGAGCAGACAGAGCACAACTGAAAGAGCGCACTGTAAAAAAACAATATTGATTCCTTGATTATTTAATTGAATATTTCCGTCGCGTAACATTGCGCAACAAAGTCTAGCTGGATAAAATCACAAATCTATAAATATGCTGCGCAGACTGCAGTCTGACTCACCATCAATCTCATCGCGAGCGGTTAACTAAATCTTTGTATTAAAGAGAGGAAGTTTATATACGGTATCTGTGGCATCTAGAGCATGACCGATCCCGATTTTCCATCTCGCGGTTTGAGGGACCGTTTCTCCAGAGAGAAAGCCGTATTGTCCTGCGAAGGCGAAATGACACGCGTAATCACAAAGACGATAGCAAGAACGCAGTGCTATTTCTTTTTTTTTTTTACAGCTTTTTACCTGGGCGATCTGTTCGTAACATTGAGCGAACTCGTCGTCGCGCTGTAAAGACATATTTAACAGGCACAGATATTTCCAGACAGTCGCGTTACGATTGTCGATCTGGTTTGCCTCCGACAAAGCCGCCTCGGCTTCCGTGAACCGCCGCAACTGTGGAAATTTTCGTATGTAGAAGCGATTTTTGCGCATAAAAGTATAATTTTCGCATAGAAAGCTTCATTATTAAAATAAATATTTTTTAAACTCAATTTAATTCACCTCGAAGAAAGCATTCCCGCCCCGAGCCACGTTTCCGCCGTCGGTGAAGTTCTGCACGCGGTGAGGAAAACCTTTAACCCGCGCTCGTATTCGCCGGCGTTTTCGTAACAAAATCCCATTCTACCGTCGTAATGTTATAAATTCTATTTTTTGTCTCGCTTGTCAGCCGATTTGCATAATATCGAGACAAGTGATTTTTACCTCGTCTGCACGAGATGCAAATCGTCCGGTCTGTTGAACATCGCATTAGCGTACTCGTAGTAATGAATGGCCTCCGCGAAATTACCCTCTTGAAAATGACAGTGTCCCATTAAACTGCTTATCGAGTAATCCTAAACGGAATATATTTGGAGATTTAAATACGATACACGAATGGACGAATTAATTTTATGTGGTATTTGTATGATAACTACATCAATTATATAATTAATTATATATACAGGGTGTCTCGTACTCAATGGTACAGCGCTTGTAGGCAGGTAGTGTGGACCAAACTGAACAAAAAAGTCCTCTATCATTTTGCGATCTTCGCAATAGTTATCGAGATACTAATCAT